GTGATTATTTGACAGGAGTTTTACTTTTAAACTGTAAGTGTATTTAATTTAGTTATGTTAGTTATGATAGTTTAGTTATGATGTAAATACAATAAAAATGAAACCAAGATTTAGAATAATTATCATTTTGATCCATACATTGGTAATGTCTGACTGGGCCTCGTGCCACTTTATGTTCAACAAATTRGGCCCAGTGGTCAAAAACGTTAAGAACCCCTGCTTTAGAGGCTCTTCATAGTGAAACAGGAACAGTCTGTGCACAAGCCTGGGACATCAAATGCCAGCCAGGCATGTTCCAGCCCAAGGCAGGCACATCGAGCACACACCTGGCATGGATCTTTGCTCAAACATTTGTTCTGAGGCTCTGAGTTGCTCTCTCCTCTAGTGTGAAGGGGAGTGGGGAGGTAATTATGCTTTTTCCTCCAGTCAGTGTACAGTTAAGCTAGTCTGCTAAAGAAATATGCCTCAAAGTGAGAAGAGGTTTTTGAACGATACTGCATCATGGTACAAGGTACTTAAAGAGATAGTAACAAAAGCGTTGCATTCACCAGCCAATCAGGATTGGTGTAATGAGATGAATTATTCTGAGGATTGCACAGGCATATCCCATAAGTAAGACATCAAAACATATGCTATGAATGAGAACTCAGATGGAGGTCTTGAGCTTTTTGTCATTTCTCTGAGCATTTTTTTTTCTGCTTGGCCTTCAGAGGAGTCAGAGGCTTTTTGCTCTCTCCTGAACCTGTCCCTCCTTTCCTGCTTCGCTGCTTTTTCAAGCCTTTCTTCTACCTATCATCTGAAAACAAAAGAAATTATAGATTTGGTCAACTGGTCTCTGAAAGCAATTGACACTATTTTTTCCACATTGAAACTGAAAGGTGGGGAACGTAGCTGTCCCAGTGGAATGGTTGCCGCTGGTCAGGTCAGTGGTTCCTGGGGCTAGAACATGATCTGTTTGGCATTGCTTTCCATTGAAGACATGGAAGACTTGTACATATTTGAATTTATGATAACTGGATTCCTGCTGATCGGCGGAGGTGGATATCTAGCTTATTGGAAAATGAAAGTGATCCTGACAGCACTCCGGGCCTGTGAGAGGCTGTCTGGAACCATGGACGGAATCTCCCACAGGCTCAGATGCTGGGGGAAATAAGTCACAAACTGGATGTGATTCTGATGAGAATCGCAGCTCAAAATGTAGGATTACACCTGGGTGAAGTTTCAGATGGAAAGGGGTGAAGAGGTGATGAAATTCAGAACATTCTGCATTTTTTAATTTTTTCAGAGGCTACGTTCACACTGCAGGCAAATCCGACCCAAATCCGATTTTTTTGACCCATCTGACTCATATCCGATTTTTTTATGACAGTCTGAATGAGACAAATCCGATTTTTTCAAATCCGACCCAGGCCGTTTCAGTATGTGGTTTTAAATCGGATATATATCTGATGTTTTCAAAGTGACCGCAATGTGAACGCTCATGTCACATTCCATCTTACTTTTCATCAGGAGGAGGGGGTGAAGGATCGATAAGACACTAACCTGAAGTCATGCTCTTTAAATCTGCAGCTCCGTGTGTTTACAGCTCCAAAACACAAGTCCAGTTGCTTCATCTTTTTACTTTTAATTTTCCACGTAGATAGTATGATAATAACGATGTCCAGCCTGGGTCACGGAGAGTATTGATCCTAAAGTT